TATACTTGCGTACGACGGATTTCCTGAATTTCTGTTTGATTTTAGTGGTTTTCTCGTCCTGCCCCGATCATGACAACATAATGTGAAATCACTCTTGTCCTGAGGGAACGTGGCAGGACCCCCGGGATTCCCGAACCGACATGTAGACAGTTAATTATCAGTTCAATTATCTGAATGTGACCTCAGATCTCTGGTTCCCTAATTGATCATAAAGTTGCTGTAAAGATTTTTAGATTAGCGAGGTTTTCTACCGCCTGCTTGCCCCTCTCTCTCGTACTTCTTTCTCTTTGTATCCTCTCGTCTTCCACCTCTTTTTCCTGAAACCTCCCCCTTTACGCTCCCTTTTTTGTGTCTGTATGGCACCGCTGGAGCATTGCGTTTCAGCCGAGAGACCAGCTTCACATCGGTTTGGCCCATTTGTCTTCCACCTCCATCTTCCTCTACCTACTCTTTCTCTCCTCATTTGCATCGTCTCTCTCTCCTTTTTTTATCTCTGTCCGAATTAACCCCTCCACCTCCGTCTAGCCTGAGTCTCCTCACTGATTTCAGTCTAAACCCCCCCCGCCTCCCCCAGACCTTTCTTTAAACCTTTAACATAATGGACATAGCAGATGGTTATGGTCAAGAGCTGAGAGAATACTCTGTCTAAACTAAGCAGGCGTTTGACGTGCCATTTATTGTAAGAAGCGCGTTTTCCTCCCGGTTCAAAAAGTTAAAATGTGAACGGTGTGCGAGAACAGCAGAAACAAAAAGAAGGAAGGAAAAAGTTGTCAAAACAGAAAGGGTTCTCCTGGGTCTGTGTTCAGCCTACTGGCGTCGATGATGAGATGTATGAGCCAACTCGGCTGCTGTTAAAGCCCGTGCAGTTAATTACAGTCTGGAGGATGCGCGTGTGTGTGTGTGTCGGTGTGTTGTGGTGTGAGGGTACAGATAGCGTAGGACAGTACGGGTTAAGAGTTAACATTCGGTGTCAGTTGGTCTTGCTGCTTCTGGCCGCTAATTAGCGCCCTCTTAATTAATACGATTAATAGATAGATAGGAGCGGTGTGGATGAGAAGTAGCATCAGTAACTGGCCCACCTAATGTGCAGTTTAAGATGAATCACCGTTACACAGGCGAAAGCTTTCTAAGCAATGTGAGGGAGCAAAACGAAGCTCTTATCTGCTTTAAAATTCAATCCAGAAGGACCCGCTCGCCTTGGCTTTTTATGCGATCTTACTAGCAGGTAGTGAACAGACAAAAGGAAAGAAGGGGGAAGGATGGCTGAAATCAAGTTCAGCCTGTTGTTCTAGCAGGTCGTTAGCTGGTCCCTGGATAGTCAGGCAGATGAAGTTGAAAGGAGGGTGGTGGTGAGAC